AGTTGGAATGAATAATGGCCAATGCATGTTGACGATCCCAGAAGTGGATTCCAAAGAGGCTCGCCAATGAGACAGACCAACTCTCCCAGAAAAGAAAAGTCAACAAGCAAACAACGAAAATAGTGCGTCCGTTCATTGTTGCTGGCAACTAACTAACTGTCCCTGAAATTTGAGGGATGTGAAGCAAATCCTCTTTCGGTTTTTGCTTGTGCCGATGCTTGCACTATTATCAGATCAAGCCCCTTTCTGATGGATCATCTGAGCAACCCTCTTCATTCGCTGGTATCATCAGTGCGCGGTGCAAGCACGAGTTGAAAGGCTTCAAGGTTCCAGGTTGTTCCGAGATGAGGTCCGTGCGACCCACACCATTCCTCATTGAAAGCCAGCAAGATTGCGTGCAGCTGAGGGAAAACAAAAGCCAGGCATCACCGGTTCGTCTCTCACCTGGATCTACAGCCGGACCGGCTCGACTAATGATGGTGACGGCTTTTTGTGATCATCTGGTGTGAGGAATCTGGAAAATGGGGATTCTCAAGAATCAGTTTTGGTTTTTTGCTGATTCTTAAGAATCACCAGGCACCCAGTATGCTGTCCAGTATGCAGCCTATCATAGCAATATGCACTTCATAGCTAGCTAGCAATGCTATCCCCTGATACTATCTGCTAACCAACAACAATCTTTGCTGATTGGAACAGCCTTGTAATGATGTAGCAGTGATGTTACAACCATTGCAATGGAGTCTTTCTTGATTTTTACCAGTATTCCCAAGATTCAGCATATTTGCATGGAGGATTCTTAAGAATCATCATAATTTGGAGAGGATTCTTAAGAATCAGTAAAAATTATTCAATGATTCTTAAGAATCAGCAAAATTGTTTTGCTGATTCTTAAGAATCATGGGCTGATTCTTAAGAATCAGTAAAATGATTCTTAAGAATCTTATTTTTCCAAGATTCCTTGTCTACCCTGTATATGATTCTTAAGAATCATAATTTTCCCAAGATTTTTTCCTGATTCTTAAGAATCAGATTATTCTTAAGACTCCTCGTAACAGATCACCTTCTATTGGATCAGCTGCACATATTAACAGAAAAACTCGTATATGTAGTTGCTGGCAATTTAAAAATCTAAAAGGATGACATTCAATTTACAATACTACATCCTACTAGCTAGCAACCTGTTAGTAGGTGCAGGCCCCCTTTTGGGGCTAGCTTCCAGACAGCAATGGCTGTTGTTTTTCATTCACAGTCGGTGGTTTTGTTGTCACACTTTGGCTTGATTTGTCAGTGGCATATCCTTGGCTGGGTTCATGAGCTTTCATCATACCTTGCTCCCCAGCAATGTACCATTCCGTGAGCAGCATGGCAGTGAAGATGGCAAAGACAAAGGAGTGATCAAACATGTCCAACACGACATCATTAGCTTCCTCCAGTGTGCTATTCTCCCCAAGATCTGGGTACAGCCCGTACCAGCCCATTTGATGTGTGGTGATCAACAGCACTATATAGAACCTCTGCAATGCAATGGTCTGCAAGTACCCAACCACCTTTAGCACCCAATACTTGTGTCGGCGAATGTCTCTATGAATGGCATACTTCCAAGCATGATAAACACAATAGAAGACTGCTAATGCCAAAAAGCCACTGACGATTAGAATGATCTTGGAATGGGATGTCAAGGCCAATCCTACACCACTGCTGGTTTGCATACAGGCAGTGACCATGAGGAGTCGTCCCAGCCAGCGATGCAATCTCTTGTTGAAGGCATGCCGAACTCTGGGAATGAGCTGCAAAAAGTACAGATTCCACCAAATGATGGCACCTATGATATGCGGAAGCAGGTAAATGTATCGGCGTGGAGAATATTGGGTCTCTGCAATCTCTGCAAAGGCGGTGCTGTTGTAGAGTCCAACAGGGTTGGAATGGATAATGGCCTGTACATGCTGACGATCCCAGAAGTGGACCCCAAAGAGACTCAACAAAGAGCGGGACCAACTCTCCCAGAAGAGAAAAGTCAACAGGCAAACAACAAAAGTGGTGCGTTGGTTCATTGTTGCAAGGTAGGGTAGCCACTGGTAATTAACTAACTGTTCTTTGGTGTAAGCTGAGTTTGGATTCGAGGGATGTCAGGCAAATCTTCTTTCGTTTTGATTATGTTGAGCTGATGCTTGGAATATTTGTGCTATTACTAATAGGGCGAAGGTGTGGATCAGATCATTCGGTATGTTTGGATCAGATGATCATTCGGTACAACACCATTACCGTACGAGCACGAGCTGGAGGTTTGTCGTTCCGAAAAGGGCGGAGGTGGGACCCAAAGGCCAAAGCTAACTTTCTGGAACCACCATGACTGAGTGACTCGACTCGACTCGCCTAGACTCGACTCAGGCAACACTCCAGCCACGCAACATACACTCACGAAAGGTATTGTACCCGCCTTGCTGCTTTAAAATGGTGTCTCTGCTGGCTTGAAAAATTTCAAGGCGGTCTTACGACCAGCTTTGACTTTTGACATTGACAGATTGACAGAAAGTCCTCCCTCCACTACCAGGTACGAGGTACTACTAAGTAGAACAGTACGGTACTTGATCATTTCATCCCACTTGAACAATTGGCTCTTTTTAAGGTACCATGTACCTCCACAATCAACAAACAATGCTCCGGTTGACTCTTCTGTCGCTGCTGCTGGGCGCAGCAGCAGTGTCAGCGCCACGACGACCCAAGATCAGCAACACTGTGGATCAATTGGCGCACATGCAGGAGCGACTGCGCCCCAGAGTGACAACATCCATTGCCATTCCTTCGCACGCGTTGGATAATCCCCGGTTGCTGCAGGCACAAGCGCCTTATAATGCCTCCTCGTGTTCCATCTGCCGTGGTTCCAGAGTCATGGCCGATAAGATTCCATTTTTCCCTCCTGACGAGGAACTTCCTTCTCTTTTGTCCAATAATTTGACGTGTGGAGAACTGGAGAGCCTGGCGCAGAATTTTGTGGCGCTGGACGACTGCGCATCTAGTGGCATTCGCCTTCTCTACGCGCAGTGCTGCGAGGGATCTGTGTCACGGTATCAGTGCGAATCCAACATTCGACATACGATATTTCACAACTACGATCCGGCCGTTCCACCCATCCCGGCCAACCACGTTCCCTTGAATGTGACGGTCACCTTGGAAACGCATGCGGTGGAGAAAATCGACGTGCAGGCCGGCACGGCCAAAATATTAATGAGTCTCTATTTGGAATGGACCGATGAACGATTACAGTGGGAACAAGACGAGGATACTTGTGCCGAGTATGTCTCCTTGTGGGCCGGTGTCGATCGAGAAAAATCCGAAGTGTGGGTGCCCGATCTTGATTTGTATAACCAAGTCGATGGGTTGCAGTCGCTACCCGAAACCATGGCACTGGTTACCAGTGATGGACACGTGCAATGGAATCGCAATGGAGGCATCGCTGCTTTCTGTCAGTTTGCAGGCTTGAGCCAGATACCCTTTGATACTCTAGGCTGTCAGTTCATTTTTGGACCATGGGTCGGCAAGAAAAAATCTGATACGGTACTATCTCAAGAATGGAACCGGCATGGAACAGGGCAAGTTCGAGGCAACTTTCAACGAGTACTTGCCCGTGCCAGAGCTCTCGGAGAGTGGGTATGCCTTTCAAGGGGGGGCTGTGTGGTTCAATCTGTATTACAAACGGTCCCAAAAGTACTACGTCAACATCTACTCATTCCAACAATTATTCTCACATATGTCAGTATGGGAACCTTCCTGTTGGACCTGCGTGTTGGCGAACGTCTCAGCTATGGTATGGCTTTGGCATTGGTGGTGGTAGCACAACAGATTGCGACTGGTGGACTGGTGCCTGTTAGCAATGAACGTCTCTGGATTGACAAGTTTATTGGTTGGAGCTTCTATTGGGTCATTGTTGGGTTGGTCGAATCAGTAATCATTGGGTATTTGTATTTCATGAGAGAAGACAAGGCAGCAAAGCTCTCACCTGAGGGAGGGAAGCGCATATACGATGGAATGAGAGCCTCGGTCTTTGTAAAGTCCACGACGTGTAAGGACAATCGTGACGAGAACGAAGAAGAGGAACATCGTGTTGGGCAAAGCAGTGATTTGTCCTCCATCAACGGCGCTGGGTCTCGTCCACTTCAGGAACAATCAGCATTAGAGGACATTTCCAGCAGGCCTTTCGAGGAGCAAGACGCAGGAGGCGTCGATTGTGACAATTATGCCAGCTACCTTGAGGAACGAAACTCTCGCCGAACAGCACGGTTTTCTACCGTCAATGGATCGATTCCTCACCAGACGAAACGAACGAGCAGCAGCAACCATCGCAAAACTGAGGGTTTCACAACCTTGAAGCAACACATGCAACATCGACATGCAGAAGAGCCGATGCCCGTCGGCCCTGCAACGGAGAAAGAGCTATTTGGACCCATGAGATGGGTGTACACGGTTTCACTTCGCCAAGTTGATCGCTTCTTTTTCTTCTTCACACTTTCGACCTACACGGCTTTCGTTATTGCAATGTTTGTTTCGAGGCCCTATTGGGGTAAAGGCTTGAAAGATGTGTGGCTTGACGAGAGTGTCAAGACCTGGGATCAGCTCGCCTAAGGAATGCGGAGCCAAACACAACCGCCATCAGTTGACGACGAAGTGGGTCAAGAAGCAACATTCGATGTTGCCGTTGTAGTCGTGATGCAACCTGCTTCCGCTCCGGATGCTTCAACAAGAAAGAGGTCGCCACCAGCAATTATTTGAGCTAGGCGGATTGGTGTTCAGGTCTATCCCGCGATTTTTCAGGGGTCACAATACTTTACTGATTCTTTTTAAAATTTTACTTTCTTTTCTTCAAACAAATATCAAAATGATGGTGGAATCGGAGGATAGGAAAAGGGAGCCACAAGCTTTCCACCAAAAATTGCAATAGTCAACTTAGCCAGCTAGGCGCTGAATTCTTCATAAGTGTAGTATCCTTCTTGAGGTTCCACTGCCGCAAGTTCTTCACTTTCATCACTGCTTGGTTCAGCTGACTCAGCATCATCGACCGATTTTGTGGCCTTACCAAGCAGATCGTGACCTTCTGCCTCAGTGATTTCCTCTTCGTCATCTGCTGGCAAAATTGTGTTCAAAAGAAGAGCTGAAAGGCAACCAACAGCATATCCAGTACTCAACGTGATCACAACAGCATCACAGACACCACGGGCAAAGGGATCTTCCATAGCTGGGCAATCCAAAAAGTTTCCACTGGCAAACCATTGAGGGACAATGATAGTGCCAATACCGAAAGCTCCAGAAACTGCCATGATGAAGCGGGATCGGCGGTCAATACCATGGGTGGTCATAACCTTGATTCCCGAAACAGCAATGTTGGCAAACAGAAATGTGGAGCAGCCCCCAAGAACAGGCAGAGGGATGCTTGTGAAGAATGCTCCAAACTTGCCAAAAACTCCATAAAGGAACATCCATGCTGCACAAGCAAAACCGGCATCACGAGCGGCAACTTTTGTTAACGAAATGATTCCAATGCTGCAATCAACAGAAAAGAGGGTTGGTTAGGTGATCTGATTTGAAGAGTTGCCTTTCTGGAAACCTCCCATGAGTTTACTTACTTTTGGGAGAGGGTAGTGCTGGGGAGAAGCATGGCAAGGGCTGAGAGGAAAGAGTTCACAGCATCGGCAAGAAGGCCGCCTTGCACAGTTTCATCAAACTCCTTGCTGTTGGGCTTGATGCCAGAAGCCTCGGCTGTTGCAGTTGTGTCTCCATAGGTCTCAACAGTAGACACAACATATGCAACAAGAGTAGGCAGAAGAGCTGGGGCGTAGAATCCAATGGGGAAAGTCTTTGTCCAGAGGAAGAGAACTGCTGGGGCTTCCTTGACAGCTTCCATGCTGGTGTAGGCATCTCCGTTGCGATCAGAGGTTAGCGACGCCACAAGGTATCCAAGTAGGATGGAGATGGCAATTCCACAGCTCCTCATGAAGGGGGATCCAAATAGTTCAATAATGATGATGACAGTCATGACGAAGAATCCTAGGCCAAGGTATTCTCCAGATCCAAAGGGCAAGTTGGAATACCCAACACCACAGTCACCTCCTGCAAGGCAGTGACCACCGCCACCCCACTGCTGCACACCAACTCCAACCAGAGAAAGACCAATAAGGAAAACTCCTAGCCCAGCAAGCCAGGCTGGGAAGATACGACGGAGGAATCTACCAGGAATGAAGGAGAAGGCACTCTGGAAGATTGCACCCACCATGAAAACTCCCAAGAGACCTCCATAGGCTTCATCAAATGTCTTGCCCTCTTTCATCTGGATTTCAATTGCCTGTTGTGCAGTGGGGAGAAATGCAAAGGAAGTTGCAATCACACAAAGAACACCGGATCCAAGAAAATAGTTTGTTTTGGGGATAGGTGTGTGCATAATCTGGATGAAGGTGCAGATTCCACTGGCAATGAGCCTGCAGTTGAAGGAGATGACATGGTTAGAAGGCTGTTGATGGCACTGCAGACACAGAATCCAAATCTGGCTGTAGGTCAAACTTACGCATAGGAAACAAGGTAAGATCCGGCCTGCCCAGATGGATCTTGCATTCCGATCAAGATCCCTGGGAGAACAGTTCCTCCAACAGCTGCAAGCGAATGTTGGAATCCAAGGAACATTGCAACCAAAAAGGCAAGGCGAGAATCCTTCCCATATGCGGGCAGGGGTTCCTGGTTTTCCTTCTTCCAGGGATTGAAACGGGGCATGCAGAGACGGCCATAGTCGTAGTCACCAACAATACGGCTTTTCCAGAAGGAGGCATCACCCCCTTCCACAGTGTCAATGCCTTCATTGAGGTTGCTGTTGGCATCTTCCACATGGTTGACGTCTTCATGAATGTTGTCTTTAGTTGGTGCCATCATTGTAGTTGGTTGCTTGGTGTTAATAAAAACAGATTGTCCGCTGAAAGGTTTTGCTTTTGCTTTTGCTTTTGCTTTGTGTTTGCTTTTTGTTTGCTTTGTTTTTGCTTTTTGTTTTGCTTGAGCTTCAATTTGTGAGCTCTTACCGAGCCGCTCTGATAGATTGGTCTTGCTTGTACGTGTCAGTGTGGAGTTTCATTGAAAACGTAGCTGTCACACCAGCTCGTAGATCTAGCTAGATGAACTGTTCGACGAAGGTTTCGTTGAAAGTTATTATCTTGAAAGTACCGGAGAGTCTCTCGATGAGCGATCCATGAAGTTCCACTGTACCGTTAAACCCACATGATGACATTGTGACTCGCTCATTGTTGAAGTACCCTATTATTTCTCTATTGTTCTACTTGTCTTTCGGATTTATTAAACAATTGGTCATGTCTAGTGACTGTTTCGACGCAATTATTGTTCCTCTGAGATCCTCACATTTTGTATTTATTTGTGAGCTCTTTTCCATTTCCCACGACCTTCCCGATATCATACCGGTACCTGGTACAAGCAACACAGACCATCACCATCCCACCAAGCAGACGAGCCACACGTCCGCTTTGGACAATCGCCGCGAGAACTGGTACGGCAATGTAACTTCCCGTGAAATCTTCGTCACCTGATTGAAAATTCAGCATCGAAGTTGTGTATAACCTGCGGGTGCACCTGGAGCAGGATGATCTCCGAGTCAGCACCTGGTTTTGTCCAGCCACCGTACTACAGCACCACCGACTGCTAAATGAGTTCGTACGAGTATTTCAAGCTACTATATCCTTCGCATTGCTTAGACAACAACTTCCCTGCTCGGCACGAGCTTGCCGAGCCTTGCATGAGATTTTTTGGGATGACTGCCTGACTATAGCTTTCGCGATTCGATTCTTGGCAACGTTGATGGAAACCTGAGCGATGTTCCTATCTCATCCGTCTCTCCCACCAAGTGGTGTCGCTAATGGATGATTGCTCCGGGGAGTACAGGGCAAGTGCACCAGAGCACAATCTTCGAATCACCACCCAGCCATGTTAGAAATGACTGCAAGCTGACCACAAATGATTATACCGGTACGTGCCTTGGGGTCCAAATATGAACATTCAACCAGTTAAAAGCTCAAGTGAGGCAGCTTGCAGTGCATACACTCATACGAGAGGGCTTGTGAGGAACAGTACTACCTGGAATGAGTGCAGCTGAATGGGTGGCACCGGTGAAAGTTTAGCGACACAAAAGACTAGCTCTACCACGACGATTGCATTGGCAGATAACTGCTTACTTCATAAAAACACTTTAGCTTTGGTAGTTTATACAATGCTGCTATGATGAGACATGCACACTCAATGAACGAATATCCTTTCACACGGTTTGGCGATTTTGACACCACATTTTGTCAACCATCGTGAAGGGAATTCCAGGAGAATCAACGTGATTTGACTCTCCGACGGCTGTCTTTGCTGGAGGGTTCTGTACGAAATGTACAATCTATCTTTAGACGGGGCTACATATTCAATGAATTTTCCCAATCAAAGAATAAGGGATCTCCAGTTCTTCGTAGCGCTCCATGATCTGTTGTTCCAACCCAGGATCACTCTCAATCGCTTTTTGAACCCACTTGCACCATGCTTGGCCCCAGGAATTGTTCCAAAGCCTTGCTATACTGCAGCATATTTGGTGCCTTGTCATCGAAAGAAGTGGTATCCTTTACGCACTTCTTCAGCATTGTGGCGACATACCAAACTTTCTGCATGTCTCTTTCTTTGTTGGATGTTTCTTGCGTTTTGATACTTGTTGTCGTCGTGACAAAAAGCTTCGTCTTGGATGTGTGGTGACACTGCTGCTGCGCATATGGCATGAAGAAATAATGGAAGCCAAAGCCCATGCTGCTTGTTCAGGTCTCTTTGCTGGCTTTCCGAACTCCAGTCCCTGGCAACCACCAATTTATTCCATAATTTATTGTATTTAATTAGTATTCGCTGATTGAATTCAATTCGTTGAGCTCGATCGAGGTCGACCCTCGGACCCCAGACAATGATTGATTTGAGGACACAGGTACTACCACACCAAGCCCGACAAAGAGTTCCTGCTGTTGTCGGTCAACGCTGGAAACATTGGCAGTTTACATCTTCGTTTTGTGGCTGCGCATTTCCAACGGCAGTCTTTGCTGGAGGGCTCTGTAGCCGTTGCGGCTTCACGAGTGTGTCCAAAGCCATTGCTGCCATTGCAAAGGAAGAAAAATGCGAGATGCGGAAGAAATCAGATGGTGAATGTGGTAAGTGACGCTCTGGATCGTCCCCCTGTTGATCTCCTCTGGTGATGCCAACCAATATCACACCTGTACACCGCTCCGCTGATACTTACGGGCCTGACTTTTAAAATCTGCGGTACAGGAGTTGATACGGATAATGTCATTGGTTCGGCGACCGCACCCCCTTGCGCCACCATCAACACCGCTACGAAGAACGACAAGCCCTTGTATCTGTCTGTTCTGAGGGGCTCTGAAGAGGAGTTGGTATCACACCTTGGTCGTTCGCTAACATCATGCCCGCCGCTACCGAATCTACCCAGCGGCACTCCTAACAGTGGCACGGATACGCCCCGGAATTGGCTCACAGCTCCTACCAGCCACAAGCTCTAGTAGACGATACAAGTGGTACCAATACAAACAAGACCAAACCTATCGCAATTCCAAAGGCTGTCTACCAATCTCAACAGTATGTTGAAGACCGTGTTGCTGCTATGGAATTTTTGGCACTCAAGGAGCGCTATGACCGAGCCACTTGGAGATTGTATGGTCTCATCGCGAAACACCGACAGGAGCGAGGCGTGGTTATGGGTGAAGTGGAACCACCGAACGACTGTAGTGTCCGTGAGTGCAAGATGGTGGGAAGCTACCAAGATGAGTTTGGAGGCACCGAGCTGAACCAAGCTGCACGAGAGCAAGCAGACGTCTATTGTGACGACGGTATCTTTGAGCTGGAGTTGTAAGACAAGTCTGACAGTAAGTGCAATTTACAAGCGATGAACAAGTCTAGCGATTATTGGGCTTTAATCTAGAATGGAGCGTATTTATCAACACCGGTACAACACTAATATGATTACAGCTACATTAACAAGAAAACCAATCAATGGGCCCTCCTATTTGTGAGAGGGAGCCGAAGTTGGCTCAGTAACATTGGGCCATCGTCGGTGGTCTTCGCCGTCCTTGCCTCCACTGCCAAGACTGCAATAGTCGTCCGGATGAATGGCTCGTTGCATTTGATCAATGGTCACAGGGAAGTACTTGAGTCCAATAGTGCGGAGTATCACTTGGCCAAAGACCAGCAAACATCCTGCCAGAGACAGCATGGTCAAGTCATGAACACGGCGCAGATTGAGGGTCAAGACAATCAACACTATATCCAACATGCAGATCATGAGAGGGACCTTAGCCCATCTCGCCACTCCGTCATTGTGTTCAACAAGGAAACGGCGAAAGTTTGCCTTCACCCCACGATGGCTCATGGTGACAAGATCAAGAGCAATGAAGCAACCAAACTGTGCCCAGGCATAGACCAAAGCGATGCGTTCCCTAATGTCGTAGTCCACTTGTTCTTCTTCTGCTTGGTCTAGCATTTCTTGCTCTGACAGCATCATTTTGTAGGAACAACCCACCAATATCAGAGACGCAGAGTAAAACATGTGGGAGTAAAAGTACATGTATCCACCACTTTGGCTGCGTCGCATGGCATGATCCTTGGCTTCGGCTGGTTGGGTTCGAAAGAACAGATACTGGAACATGGTCACAGTCAGAATGCCGGCGAAGAAAGCCACAGAATAAGAAAAGGTAGTTGTCGATTTGGATTGTGGAATGGTCAGAATGCTCAAGACAGATTCTCCTAGCATCAGCATGACCCATTCTCCAATCCTGTGAATTGTAAACTCGAGGTTGATGGGCACATACACCTCTTTGTGTGAAATGCCCCGTCGAATTATGTAAGTCTGGTGCAGCATCGGAAAGAACATATTTTCTGTCACGAAGCCGAGAACGAGCAAGCAGGCTGGCAAATAGTTGCCCTCTTCTTCTTCCTCTGCGTAGCTCGCTGCTTTTTGCTCATTGGTCACTGTAAAGTAATAGTCCTTGGCAGAAATGATGAAGGCTACAGCTGTCAAGATGGCTCCAACTTGTTTTCGATATAGCTCATGTAGAGCACAGGCTTTGGCTTCGGGGCCACCAATGACGTTGCGACGCAAATCCCAAAGGACCCACGCTTGTAGAACATTGTTTACCAAGTAGGCTCCTGTGAAGATTGTCATGGTGGGATTGTTGGCGGTATCCTTCATGATTTCTGCTGGCTGAATGCACGATACGATGAGCCCCACGACGCACAAATGGATAACTTCCAGGGATCGATGAAAGAGATTATCATCGGGACAAAATCGAGCATCATATACCAATTTCTCGTTCCAGATGAGCAATATGGGTAGGTAGGAGGAGCAAAAGTACAGCACTCCTTCCCAGGTTGGGCAGTCTTTGAAGGCGTGGCTGAGTTGATAGGCAGCTGCCACATAGAACAAATCAAAGTACAGGTCTCCCCAGTTTACATGCGGGCTAGGCATGTCAATCCATTGAACGTTACGGCACCAGGAGACGGATCAGTTTGCAATTTGCAAAGATACCCAACATCCAACACCCACCTACCACATAAATGCAGCTATCACAATGCACTTACAGCATTTGCACATCATCCCATCGCTGCCTCTGCTTGGGATTGGCATACAAAGGAACCTTCTCTTCCAAACGGCGGATGCTACCATGGCTGCTGTTGCCCGCACTATGGGCTGAAACAGGGCTGCTTGCACTGTGTTTCAAGAGATGGCTTTGCTCTCCAGGAGTCTCTTCTTCGGCAGTCATCGCTGTAGTTTCTTCTTGCTGCTCTTCACCACGAGACAGTAAATGCTTTCGAATGGCCACGTAGAGTGCAATCACTACAAAAGGACAGCAACAGCAACCACACATCAGACCATCAGAATGATGGCAAGACAGCTTCTAACGGCTGATGCAACGCAAATGATAAATAAATAAATAATTAATGATACCTCCGCTGGAAAAAATGAAGCAAATATGTTTGGACAAAGGACGGACGAAAAAGATCCATTTCAAGAAATCTTTCTGGGCGTTAAATCTTCACTTGCCGTCCAAATCACCACGACTCAGCCACGAGACACCAAGTTGCGAGGATTGGCTCACATTTTCAATTTCACGCTTTCAGCAGCCTTGTTTTCCTTGGATGATTGCGAGCTGCACAAACAATGCTCTCCGACACTCTGCTTTCCATCTTTCTCGCTCTCAATGTTGTCTTTTTGTTGGGCACGGCAGCATGGTTCCGATTTGATCATGCATCATCTCCTGGTCGCTTCCAACCTCTATTGACAGATTCACTGATAGACGAAGTGATGTGGCAGTATTCCTTGCGATCCAATCTCTTGCTCTTTGGATGCACGTTATCCGCCTATCTATTGTATATTGGAGAAATTGGCTTTCTACTGGCATGCTTTGCGTGCTTTTCAGTTCTGAACATGATCACGGATGCGCTGTATGTCTACGACGAAGTTGCGCTGTTTCCCAAAGTCAAAAAAGGCCATCAAATTGCAGGAGTTGTCATCTGGGTAGTGGCTGTTGCCTATTGGATATCCAAAGCAAGAACCAAGAAGGATTGAGCTTCTTTTATGTACCGGGTCTGAACCTGTCTTTTGTGGTGGTGGTGGTGTGCTATGCTGGTGGTGGGAGGCAATGATGGCTGGGGTCGCTTTTATTACACCGCGTCAGGATGACCTGAGTCCAGTATACGATCCCATTTTTGCCCCATTGGCATTAACACCGCTATGCCCTGACATGTCACTGTTTCCTAACACGAATTTGCTCACCTATCAACTGTCGACTCAACAGCCATATCTGCCATAAACTCATCTAACTGGACTTATCAAGTAGCAGTAAATAATGTACCTTGCTTGTGCTGTGGGTACCCTTGGCGCGGACGTTGGCTCCCAGAAGAGCGCGAGATGTGAGATGAGACCCCCCTCCGACTTCCCGCTACTCCTACTACCGGTACATGTACATGTACGTTACTTCCTGCAGTGGCGAACGAGCCTGCCTTTGGGCACTTGTCGTCCGAGTAGTTCTGCGAACACGAGCACACGCACCGCAAGTCGTTGATGCCAGCGTAACCTACCAAATACAGCACAGGAGCACCGTGCCGCAAAGGATCCACGTGCAAAACAAAAGAAAATGGCTTCTTGATGGACTTGTTGGTTTCCGCCACCGTCGACACGCCCATTGTGATGTTGGAGATGGTTCCCTTGACTCGTTCCTTGGGGCCGTCGCTGTACGTCATCTGATACACTCCGCCCTCCCCGTAGAGGGCGAAAAACCTTCGCTTCCACCCTTTAATCTTGTCAAGCTTCCACTGTGGGAGAGAGAGGGGGTGGGAATCGGTGAGGCTTTGAAGAAAAGGAGACACTGTAAATCAGTAGCTTCCAGATCGCACTTACCAGATAGCCATACATTTGCATGGGGTGATCGATTCCTTGTTGTTGTGGTGTGAGTTCTGTTGGAACATAGAGACTGCTTGTCGATTCATGCATGTCAGCATAAGGAGAGACTGCCGTGGCGGTCACGGTCGAGAAATCACCTCCGTACTCTCCTGGAAGGCCCGGTCATACGACTGAAAATCGCCAAAATCAGCATAAAGTCGCACAGGAGCACCAAAGTCGCATCAAAAGTCGTTCATAAAGTCGCATAAGAGTCGCACCAAAGTCGCGTGCGACTTTCTCACACGACTTTGAAAGTCGCGCAAGTTTACTGTAAGTATGGCGATAAAGTCGCGTCGGATCGCTGAAAGTCGTTCGGAAAGTCGTACCAAAGTCGCGTACGACTCGCACGCGACTTTGTGAACGACTTTCAGCGATCCGACGCGACTTTGACCATAGCAAGAAGAATCCGGGACTAACAGTCGCATGACGAGGCCTTCCTGGAGGAGAGGGAACATCAAACACATTCCTTTGGGAAGACACGACATTCCTTTGGGAAGACATGTCCATAGGCGACGACAGACTAGATCGCCTGTCAGCGCCGCCCCCTTCGCTTTCTCGCAACTGGCGATGGCCCAGATACCTTTTCGTTCTGTTATTATCGAAGATTTGATAGATCGACGTATCCAGCCTAGCATAGCAGAAAGTGCCAATGGTTGCAACAGGAGTGACGGAATACTCTGAACGATGTACTAATTCCGATGGTTGGGAAATGATGGAAGCGCAATGCAAAAGAGAGGGGAGCAGGCGTCGACACTGGAGCGAACGAGTCGAACCTGTGATGGTAAAGTCATTGAAGAAATAGTTCATTGGGTTTGGATAAGGTTTGCAGTACGACACCTATCTGTTCCTGCAACTTTTGAGTTATATAAAGAATAGCAATAATGGTGGCAAACGTGGGTGTTCTTGTCCATGAAACTGGCCGGGCATTGTTGCGTTCCCTCACCAAAGAAGCAGCTCACCCCAATACCGGTACGGGTATCTCTTACAGCTCTGCTGGACTATAACGAAGCTTGGATGGCAAAGACCGCTGCATTGCTTTGCTAGCTAGCTAGTCTAGCTAGCTAGATTGCGCTGATCTGCCAGTTTTCATTTCAATTGACTTCACGCATTTTCTTCCGGTAATGTAATCTAACTCTGTGCGTAGCCTACTATGTAAGTTATCTGTGATATTTTGACCACGTTTTTTGTGTGTATTGCGAGTGCATGGATGTATTGATGCGTCCAAACTACTTTCCATCAAACGAAACTTAGGCAAAACTACCCGTGCATCCCCACCTGTTGGGTCCTTCGTAATCGTTCAGATGAATCCAATGATTGGCAGCGTACTTTTCTCCACGAACGACAGGCATGGCTTCATGATACATACGATCGTCCCAAAAGTCTGGCGATTCGTTGCGAACGGATGGCCACACTAACGCTCGTCCTAGTTTGGGTTTGACATAAATGCCCAACTTGTTGAATTGTGTCTCCCCACCTTCTTCGACGTTGGACAAGTACAAGAAGAATGTCAAAATGCGATTTCCCGGCGGTTTGGGATCACGGCCTTCGCTGTCATGATGCATTTTATAAAACTGCTTGTCTTGGTATTCCAGTACTTGAAAGGGTTCGTAGTTCTTCTCTTCAATCCCCGTGACTTGTTCGATGCGTTTGGTCATGGTCCGCACTCCTGGCAATTGTTGACAGTCTCCGATACACCAGGCATTGGAGGAAGTTCGTGTGGTACTGGTGACCATTTCCATTTCGCCTTGATCATTTGTTTTTCCCTGATTGGTGGAACGATCGAATCCTGCCATGCGACCTCCTTCAATCAATGCCTGTGCTTCTTCTTGGGAGAAGAAGTTATCAAAGGTAATGACCCATGGTTGCGGCAAGCCATTGGCATCAAACTGGTCGGGACTGGACAGCACGTTGGGTTGGAACTGTTTGAATTCTGGGTCGTTGGCCCATTTGGTAAAGAGTGCGTCGAGATCACCGGGTTTCCAGACTGGTTCGGTGATATTCATATTTTCCTTGGTGCATCGTACCGAGCCGTCAATGAGTCTGGCTGCGTCCAATTCTGGGCTGTATTCGTTGCAGCTTTGACAGCAATGTACAATCATCCATCCCGGTTGTTCCCAGCACTTGCCCGCCTTGGCATAGTCTTGACAAGCCTTATCAAATCGATCAATACACTTATCGTCCGAGGGAGCGGCATTTTCGGGAATGACAAACGTCTGTCCCACTTTGGTGGGTTCAAATCGGAGTGGTCTGTTCGCCAGGGGATCAAACAGTCCTTCCTTGACTCCGTGACGAGTGATAAAGAATTTGTTGGCTGGAAAGACGGTCAAATCGAGCGAGGCACCGGCTTCGATATTGGAAATCACTTGACCCGTACTGTCATTATCCCAGTGAATATCGGCTCGATAGACTGACTTGTTGATGAGATGTACCTGGAAGGATGTATGGATATCTTCCGGTGCTTCGGTACAAGTCCCTGGGTTTTCCTGGCAGTGGCGTTCGGCAGCTTCGTTCATGCCACCCAATCGGCGGTGCTGCTGCTGCAACGCTCGGTTACTCGTCGTAGTGCCAAAATAGTCATCCACCATAACTGCCACAGGCTCCAACGTCAGGATGATGCTCAGCACTACCACCGAGGCGCAGAAAATAAAGGAACCGCTCTGCCAAAAGGGCTTGGGCGCCTTTTTCTTCCCGCGAGATATCTTGGGCATGGTAATCAATTAAAGTAGAGCAGATCAATAGAGATATGTGTGTAGTATAAGAGGCTTCAGCTCGCTTCAATCCTACTAAAAGGGAGTTGTTGGCTTGTGGTGGCTACAAGTGACAGTCTTTGTGGAAGTGACCATCAAGCCATCGAGCCATGCTGTGCGGAAGACGGTGGTTCTCGATTCTCGATATCTTTTGCTTTGAAGATAAGATACGCTGATGTTTAATTCATGACTGGACTCAGTGACGATTTATCCGATTCGATTCTATGACCCCCAGATCTCACACATTTATCGATCTGGCACGGCTTGCTCTCCACGTGCTTCAACGCTCAATAATCAGTTAGCCAAAGGCCAGTCGCTAAATTCACCCGAACACCCCTGAGCGTTTAAGGAGTACCAAGGTAGCCTAGTCTTATATGTTTAGATCTATTATCCAAGAGGGTTCCACGCTGAGGAGTGTTTGTGATTTTCGCCAAAGGTATTTGTAGACGGTTTATTTGTCTCTATTCGGAAGCATTCGGAAGGCGATTATTCGAAAAATTCGAGAAATCGGAACCCAGAAATCATGTGACAACGGTCAAATCAATCCCAGATTGCCCGTCTTTGGAAATTTCAATTCGTGAATCCCATTCTTATACCATGTGATACAGTAGAGAGGGTGTGTGATTTTTCTAAAGAGACGTAAAACCAATACGAACCAACCGTTAACATGCAGTCCTAAGAGAAACCAAACTGTTGGCTCTTGTTGTCAACAACTCCATCCAACTACCTCCGACCAACAGCAATGCCACTCCAATCCTCATTATTCCTGCTTTCGAAACCCAAAAAGGTAAGCAGAAGCTATGGTGTTTTCTCCGCTCCTTCTGTTGTTGATTGTCATTGCTTTCTTTTGATTTCATCTAACCCTCTTTCCTTTGTTTTGGTTTGATCAAGATGGCATCCAACCGCTCCATGAGGAGTACCTCGAGTTCCAGCAGTGGCGGCGAACAAGATGATGAAGAGCCACCTCCCTTTGTTGCCGCATTCCATGATGGTCGCTACAAGAGCCTTCGCTTCATGCAGTATTGCACTGACTTCCCATTGCCCGCCAGGCACACCTGTTCTGGATGCAACAACTACCTTGCTGTTGGAGGAAATATACCTGACACCTCTTTACTATTGACTCGTGTATTAATCATCTAGTCCGGTTCGCATGCAAATTCATCATGCAAGGAACCAAGGGAGTTTTAGGTCTAAATGTTGTTGCGGGGGTCCTCTATATCCAATTTCAATCACAAGAATTGCTATGCACCACCAGAAAATCCTCACTTTCTTTTATAATCTAAAACCAAATTAACTCCCCAATAACTGCAGTATTACTCGCGATCCATCCGTGGCCCTGACGCAGTCATCACAACAAGAGACAAAGCGCTTGATATTGGCTGATGCCTCCCTGAGATCATGTAATAACCGATTGCCGTTAAGGGTGTCACCTTCTTGGTAAGCTTGTGTGCTTCCAACATTGGTGTGCCATCTCGTATTGGTCTGGGAGATAGTCGCTTGCGGAAATCATGTCCTGTTCATGACAGTTTCGGATGAACTGCCACTGTCGAATACACTGTGTTGGCTCCATTCAGAAATGAGGTTCTTGACCGACACTCCTGCAAGATTTTGGCTCTGCCACTCCTGTGGTTCGGCCCCTTCAGGCCAACGTCTTACCGACGAGCACAGGGCTTTCATCATGGGGCATCCCACCCCTTGTTGATTGTCCTAAATTATTTTATTCGTTCCACGGTACTCACTTTAGGGCACCGTGCAGGAGTGTGTTGAGGAAATATACCTGACACCTCTTTACTTATTGACTCGTGTATTAATCATTCAGTCCGGTTCGCATGCAAATTCATCAATGAAAGGAACCAGGGGAGTTTTTTGGTTCTAAGAGTTGTTGGGCGCGTAGGGTCCTTATATCCAATTCTCACCACAAGAATTGTCTATGCTTTTACCACCAGAAAATTCCTCACTTTTGCTTTTCAGCTTATCTAAAACCAATGTATCCCCAATAAGCTGCAGTACTATTTACTAGCAAACAACACTTGCCACCCCATCTGTGAAACCGATCCTCTTGAACAAGCGCGCTTCCATCCAAAGAGCCATGCATACCAGTTCCGCCAACATTGGAAGGTTGTTGGGGTACCGCCGCAGCTTGTTCTGTGTCCAGAATTATGTCAACACCAACAATCTGGCAATTGTTCAGGCGCTACCTTGTCAATGAAGACCCATCCTCCTGTTGCATGTACCACCAAGCTTTCTCTTGAGACCACTCCTGTTGACCCGATGGTGACGGATATTGTGACTGCTGGCAGCGAGTTGACAGCTTCACGATGACGGCAAGTGTTGTTACACGAAGAAACAAGATGGGCGAAAGGTCAGAAAGCGAAGTCTGACATCACAGTGGACAACATTCCATCAATAGCCAGGTACAGGCCTTTACTGTTGCCGTTTTCCCAAGACACACATTGTTGTTCTCCGAACAAGTGGGAACGGCTTCGCAAAAGAGAAGAAGATCAAGGACATGGAGAAAACGGCTTCTGATCACTTACAAGTTCATCGGTGGTCTCTGTATTTCATGCAGTCCCGGTCCTAGCCACTACGTATCGTTGCGGAGTTGCCTCGTTCCGTTTCCCACTCAGCCAGTATTTTTCATTCCTTGCTCCCTACTTATTTTTTCGCGCTTTCTTCGGGCCGAACTCGGTGCCGGTAACATGGAAGGTGTTGACTTGAACAAGTTCAGTACGTCTTTCCCTTCTGAGACCTGGTTTCGAAATATCATGTTCCAGCATGCCGGGTCGTCGCACTGCTTCTTGTGACTTGGATGTATCTTCGTGGGCAAGACTGTTTCTTTCTTGCTGACAAAAGGTTACGGAAGTGTCGCTCGGACACTTCTTGTCAAGGTGGTCTTATCTGTTTATAACTGGTTCTACATATTGGGAGTTCGGCCGTCAAATGTTTGTGATCATTGATGCAGCTAGATTAATGGAACATCATGATGCTGTGAATCACGGTCATTGTTTTGTTCGTTTGAGATATCTTGGGCGGGATGATGGATTTAAGTTCAAAGGACACTGCACTGACAATGGTGGAGGTGGTGTTCTCGATGTATTGTTCCGGTCTATGGAAGATCTGAACCTGTGTCGCTCGAACCATCTTGTCGCTAACTGTTGCTTGCACAACATTCAGTTGGTCGTCAGGAATCACATTGTCGAAGTACTCGGCAAGGGTGGATTGGACAAGAAGAATTCTATGCAAATGATCCACTGTGTTTACGATCTACAGAAAAGCATGGAGAAGGAAGTGTGGCGTACACATGTGGAAGAGGCGTTCAGATTTATGGAAGCCTACCACTCCTTATGTTGGCGATACATGTGCTGATAAAGTCTTTGCCACGAAGTTGGAACGGGTCAAGACCTTACGGGAGTTCTCTGGATTGGGCAACAAGTACCTCAAGAGACTACTCCTTTCTGTAACGGCCCCAGTTCTTACAAGAAGGTGGACAGTTGGGGAAGCGTCAAGGGTAACCTACTTGTGTTATCTACTGATACTACGCGTAACCCAGACATTCATCAACGTCCATGACAACAAGAGCAAGCAGCACAATATTGCGGTCCCGGCTTACAGGCCATTCTACTGGACGGCCAGACGCTGTACGTCTGATTTGACACTGATGCATTGATACCACTCCGTGTTCGTCATTCCACACTTTGACTGGTTGCAGCGCTACCAGGTAGTCTTCTTTGATTTATTTGTTTCCTTTGGTGGGCCTATCTTTCCCCCTCCCCTTGGGGTGCTTTTCAATGCGGCACACCATCATTTCAGGTTGCTATTCCTGCAAATCAATACTGCAAAATGGAAGAAACGCGGGGGCATTGCGTTTGACCCTGCCTTTGATGCCTTTCACGATTCCTTGGACCTCCTTCCAGAAGAAACACAGTTGGTGCAGAGGAACAAGGCATCTCGCTTCTTCAAGATTGCCAAGGATGCACTGACCAATCAATTCCGACGATGGGCCAACATGCAACTTCTACCCCAGCCGGCATCCTCTTGAAACAACCAGCGCCCGAGTGGGTGTGGGACTTATGTCATTCTTGGAGAGCTCTACGGTGTTCACTCACAGAAGCATCTGGAGTCTATGTGCTGACAAATGGGTATATTTGACCTGAGCCGGGTTCAATGATTGGTTGTAACAAGTACGTTCGAGCTCCAGTTAAACTGATACCTGTACTCACGCGACTATTCTGGAAGGTTATGATTTGACGAAGAGGAATATGAATGATTTGTTTAAGTGTAGGCGTTCTTGCTTGGAATTGTGAGGAGGTTCAAGAGGAGTTGTCTCGAACTGACTCAGAGCACTGTTGAATGTTGATTGCTGATGGTGGAATGCCATAGAATTGAGTTGGTCAGACCGATGATAGATTGATCTTCTGATGCAGCTCTAAATGGATCGTGAAGGATACAGAGGCGCGATTGTAGTTAGGCGGGCATATGTGACATCTTTTTAGACCCGTCTAGGATCATCCAGAAGAGTAGGTCTGAGAAGATTAACCACAAGTCCGGATCAGGGGTCGTAGCCTTATGTACGCCGTCGCCCAGGCTGATCCACCATCCTTGTAGAATAAGAACTCGTCTGCCAAGGTAAAGAAGGCGCCCTCATGGCTCAGTGATGTGCGCAGGAGAACAGGAAAACCGGCTAAGTAGAGCTACGAGAATATCTGGAGTTAAACAAGTCGAAATTCTTTGAAGATAGTGGGCACCTGAGGTCCTTCTGCCAATTATGTCAATGTCCGCGGCAGACCCCGCCAGAAAGGCCGACTCCACGGGAAGTTGCGTGTGAAACGGATCTGACTCTTCAGAATTCCCCACCCGTGTGGCAAAGATTGCCGGTACAACCGTTGGCGCATCCTCTAAAGTAGGCTACATTTGAATGCGAAGCTTAAGTTATCGGTAGACCGAACGAGTTAGTGAGTTAGAGTGCGTATGATAGGCCGAATGATAGGATTTGCCCATAAATGATGTGATCCGCTGCTCGTTCCAGCGATTGTCCGCCATCACTTCCTTTGCCCTGAATCCATGCCCGAGTACCTAGCCCATGAGGACTAAAGTGGTTTCGGGTCTTTGTCTTAAATGGCGTAATCGTAACAACGCATCAACGCGTTTGAAGTATATTTCATTTGTATCATTTAGCTAGTGTCTCCCCTTCTGCGTCGCTAAGTCCAACACCCCCCTAG